TGTAAGCTAGCAAGACCAACACATGCATTATTAAATGTTATCTTACATTTGCCATTTCCAAAATGGCAATCATATCCATCATTGTCCAAGCATGAAACACTAATCAAGTTTCTCTGTAAAGAGGGAATATAAAGTACATCTCTAAGTAAAAGTGTGAAGCCATCAGCAAGCTCTAGAGAAAGATCGTCAATGGCTTCAACATCTGCTCGGACTCCATTTGTAACTTTAACGTGTCTTTCTCTTCTTTGCATAGTCCTCGTCGAACGGAATCCCGGTAAGGAATTAGCAACATGAACAGTTGCACCTGAGTCAATCTACCAAGTAGATTTCGAATACTGTACATATAGGGATTCATTTATGAACGTAATAATGTTCTCACCTTTCTTTGCCATGATCATCTTTAAGTAATCAGAACAATCTTTCTTATAATATCCCGTCTTCTTGCAATAGAGACACTGGTCTTTCTCTACTGTGAGCTTGTTCTGTTGAGGCTGATGCAGCATGGGACCCTTTCCCTTTGACTTTGAGGAGGAGTTAGTATTATTATTCTTTTTCTTATTATCTTTCACATAATTGATAGTGCCACCATTGGCAACTTTCATTCTCTCCTCCTCTTGCACACACATAGCCATGAGCCTCTCTAAGTCCCACTTCTCGGGCTGTATATTGTAGTTGACAACAAAAGTGTCAAATTTCTTTGGCAAGGATGCAAAAATTAGATGAATAAGGAATTCTTTCTTGAGAGCCAGATCCATTGGTTTTAGCTTGGATGCCAAATTGCTCATCCTTAGTATGTGCTCTCTTATGCCACCATTTTCTGAGTACCTCTCTGTCACCAGCTGCTTTATCAACTAGGTAGCATATGTCTTTGAAGAGCCAGTGAACTAACTCTTTACTCTATCGAGGTACTCGGTGATCATATCACACTCTAGTATTGAGCCCACAATTATAGGCTCAATCGTGTTCTTTATCACAGCTAAACACTTCTTATTGGCAGTGACCCACTTCCTATGCTCAAGGTCATAGGACATCTTTTGGGATTTAAAATCCCTCTCTAGTTGCCCAAGCGACATCAGCCTCGTTTGTCTCATCACCGGTGCCACAGGCTCAGTGGGACACGGTGAGGTGACTACCCAGTCCACCTCAGCCAAGATGAAGGCCAGATCAATCTTTTTCTTCCACTCTGTGTAGTTGTCACCTTTGAGAGTGGGGATCTCTTTGATACAACCCATCAAGTTGTATCCGCCTGACACCACAATTCATATAGAGTGAGAACATAAATAATAACAATAATTGCATGCCTTGATTCCAACATTGGTCAAAATCAAAACATACAACTGTTTATACATTAAATCTACATCACCGTTGGGCAGAAATAAAAATAAAGCATGAAATCATTAAAATTACGATATTGTTATTAACAACGTTGGTCAGAAAATAACAACATCATAATCATGTCAAAATCTATTTTTCTCCAATTAAATATCACGTTGGTTCAAAATAACTGGAGAATAAACTATTTCTTTAGCAGCGGAAAACATGAAAAAAAATTCAATTATCTATTTTTCAGAAGCATTAAACTTTTCTCAACTATTCTTTGAAAAATTATCCCGTTGGTTCAAATTTTAACAGAGATATTAAACTAGACAAAATTCATCGAAATATGCTTCTGAAAAATTAAATAAAACAAAAAATTACTCTTCTATTCATTTTGGCCCGGCCTGCATTAGCAGTAAAACAGCCCAGCAAGCCTCAGTAGCGCGCGGCCCGACGACATGGCCCAGCGGCGCGCGCCGCTCTCCTCCCCCACGCCCAGGCCGCAACCTGGGCCTGGGCCAAGATTCTGCAATCCCGCCTGGGCTCTTTTTGGCCCAAGACGCTCCAGTCGTCGGATCAGATCCGACGGCCGTCCGCGCGCGTCGCTTGATCAAAAAGGCGACGGCAGCGGCTCCCCTGAAACCCTAACACCATTCGGTTCTCTCTTCTCTCTCTCTTCGCCGCGCTCCTTTCTCCTCCCCTCAGCGCAGCCGCAGCAAGCGACCGAGAGACGCAGTGGAGCATGGCGCCATCGCCGGCCCCCTCGCCGGCGTGCGCGCTCCACAACGGGTGAGCACGCCGCCGTCGAGGGGCCTAGCCCGCGACACCCTTGGCTAGAGCCCACGCAAGACCTGCCCCGCTCGGTCTTCTTCTCGCGCCCCGGCGAGGCGGCAGCGCGATGCACGGTGAGGTAGGGCTTTTCCCCCTTTCCCCTTCTTCTTCTCCGATTTGGATCTTCTTCTTTGTTCTTCTCGGATTTCATCCGATTGGGGATTAGGGTTAGGGTTCAATCAAGTTAGGGTTAGAGTTTGACTCACTGGAGTCACTGTTCATCTTCCCCAGCGAGTTCTTCGTGGGTTTGAGCTCGGATTCATGTTCTTCTTGAAGTCGAGTCCCTCTTCTTACTCCTTTCCTTCACCTAGTTAGGGTTAGGGTTCGGTGACCCTCTTCTCTACTCAGATCCGAACAGATCTAATATGTTTCTTTCGTTCACCCGATCTAGATCTAAAAGCCCTAGAAGACCTAGCTCTGGTACCATTGTTGAGATTAAGAGATCATCTAGGGTTAGGTCTAACGGGTTCTCTTTACTGTGAATGCGATATCAAGAGTAGAGGGACAGAGAGGAATAGAAGAAGAACGTGTCGAACCTGACACTGCAGAGGGAAATGGTCCAGAAGCCGCCATCTCGTTCATCGGTGAAGTCTACGCACGGGTAGCGACGTTCGGGGAAGAGGTCAATGAAGTTGTCGACGTCGGTGGAGCGGGGCGGCGCGGCTGGTGGCTTCCCGTCACTGGCTACACCCCTCTCTGATCGGGATTAGGGTTTAGGTTTCGGTGGGGAGCTCAGCTCAGGCGAACCTCGTACTCAGAGCCGCCGGCCCCCACCTCTATATATAGCGCAGTGTGACAGGGGCCCTCCAGCCATAGTGGGCTGGGCGCCCCCGATTAGGGCGCGGATCAAAGGCCCAACTAGGCCGTTGGACCCAGTTTGGGATTAGAGATCAATCTAACACTCTGCCAGCAACCTATCGGGTTTGTCGACACCAATCAGCTTGACAAGGTCTGTCTGCTGGACAAATCGCTCTACGGCCTTTGCCAAGCTCCGTGTGCATGGTTCACCAGGTTCGCTGAGTTCATCATCAAGTTCAAGTTCACTGCCACGCGCTCCGACTCCTCCCTCTTCGTACTTCGCCGCGGGAACAACGTTGCGTACCTGCTTCTGTACGTCGACGATATTGTCCTCACTGGCTCAAGCTCGGCTCTGCTCCGTTTCATCGTAGATTGCCTCCGTGCTGAGTTAATAGTCAAGGACATGGGCGAGCTCCGCTTCTTCCTCAGCATCGACGAAAAAAGCACTTGCGATGGCTTCTACCTCTCGCAAGAGCGTACGCCGAGGACATCCTCGACCGCGCTGGAATGACCAACTACAAGCCTGCTTCCACGCTGGTTGATTCCAAAGGGAAGCTGTCCGCTGAGGGCGGCGCCATCGACGACGCACAGTCCTACCGCAGCCTAGCGGGAGCTCTACAATACCTCACGGTGACCAGACTGGATCTCGCGTTCGCGGTCTAGTAGGCATGTTTGCACATGCATGATCCACAGGAACCGCACCAGGCGCTCCTCAAGCGAATTCTTTGGTACGTACACGGCACGACGTCGCTCGAGTTCCATCTTCGTCCCTCCACCGAGCTCGCCGTCACCGCCTACTCCGATGCTGACTGGGTTGGCTGCCCCGACACGCGACGCTCAACGTCAGGCTTCTGTGTCTTCCTCGGGGACTCCCTTGCCTCGTGATCGTCGAAGCGGCAGCCCACCGTGTCGCGATCGAGCGCCGAGGTGGAGTACCGCGCCGTGGCGAACGCGGCTGCTGAGTGCATCTGATTTCGGTAGTTGCTCAGTGAGCTCCACTGCAGTATATCGAAGGCTACCGTGGCTTACTGTGACAATGTGTCCGCAGTCTACATGTCCTCGAATCCAATCCATCACAAGCGGACGAAACACATCGAGCTCGACATTCATTTTGTGCGGGAACGCGTCCAGCTCGGGGATCTGCGTGTTCTCCACGTTCCGACAGGCGAATAGTTCACGGACATGATGACAAAAGGATTGCCAACGGCGACATTTGAAGCTTTTCAGTCCAGTCTTTGTGTCGTTCCTGCTACACCTCAGACTTGGGGGGTGTTGAGGATAGAGTGTATGAGCTTGACTCAGAAACCACCAGGACCAGCGTGTGGTGACCGCTCTCACCATCAGCACACGACGTGCGTAGACTAGGACAGTTGCTGAAGATAGCAACCTCCATTTGTTGTACTATATATATACATTCAATTGAGATCAATACAAGGTGTCGGCTCCTATTACTTCTCTACAGGCACGTGCATTAAGCATTTGATCCAAAGATGAGCCAGTGTTGTTTTCGGCAATTGGAAAATGGATGAAATTAATGGCATGTTTGGTACAGCTCATCTTCAATGGTAAAGTTGTTGTTTTGGAAAATAACTTCATGAGCAACTTTCTAGGTGAAGTTGAGCTATTTTGGAAAAATTATTTAGCAAAACAGTTTCATCAACAGCTTCATGTATGGATGGGAGAGAGAAATGAGAGAGAGAGCTAGGATAAGGTACTTTTTTCAGCTTCATCCCAACTCATATCTTTATGAGAGAGGGAGAAAAACAACTTCATAGATGAAGCTGTTTTAGAAATAATTGTTTGACAAATAAAACAGCTCATGAAACTATTGTAAGTTGTGTCAAACAGGCCCTAACCCGCACCGATCCACCTCGTTTCATGCCAGACAACAAGTTGTTTGTACATAGTCTGTCACAGCTAACAAGCACAGCAGACGTATATCGCATACCATGATATCAGTAATTCGACTTCTTCACTGCCAAGTGTGGTGATATGATCGGTTCTTGTTACGTACGGTTCACCTGAACCGGCCTCCTGCCTGGCGTCCAAGCTAGCTAGACGACGAACTTCCTCCAGAACCAATGCCTTGCCCACACCGACCGCATGGTCTCCAGCGGCACGCCTTTGGTCTCCGGCAAGAACGCCGCGATGAAAACCGTCATGGCCAGCACCCATCCGGAGTAGAAGAGAAATATGGCATACTTGGCGCAGAGCATCGAGATGAACACCTGCGTCTGCGTGAAGGAGAGGGTGAGCGCGACTGACAGCGTAATGGCCTGCCCCGCCGACCTGATCTCCACGGGGTAGATCTCGCTCGGCACCACCCATTTCAGCGGCCCCCACGACAGGTTGAAGCTGAACGTGTACAGGCACACGAGCACCACCACGCCCACCGCGTACTTCTTGGGCATCGTCACCGCGTTGTGCTTGCCGAGGTGGTTCGCCAGTACCCATGACACGGCTACCTGGAAAAGCAACATGTCGGTGCCGCCGGCGAGGAACAGAAACCTCCGGCCGCAGCGGTCGACGGCGAGAGTGGACAGCACCACGCCGCACAGGCTGACGAGGCTGATTATGACGGCGCCGAAGATGGCCTTCTGGCTGTCGAACCCGACCGTCCGGAACAGCACCGGCGAGAAGACGGAGATCACGACCATGCCGGTGAGGTCGAAGAAGGCCGGGATGGCCACCATCATCACCAGGTACTGCCGGTACCCCTTGCCGCGCAGCAGCCTCGTGAACGCGCCCTCCAGCTCGTTCCGGCGCGCCTCCTCCACGGCGCGGACGATGTCCTTGAACTCGGCCTCCACGTCGGCGTCAGCGCCGCGGATGCGCTGGAGCGACGCGCGGGCCCTGTCTGGCTCGCCGCGCAGCACGAGGCTGCTGGGCGTGTCCGTGACGATGACGGTGGCTGGCACGGCGGCGAGGCCGAGGGAGACGCGCCAGCCCCAGCCGGGAATCCGGTTGGTGAAGTAGTTGGCGACGAGCGTGCCGGCGACGAGGAAGAAATGGTAGGCCGTGGTGAAGCCGCCACGCCATCTCTTGGGTGATGTCTCGGCGAGATACAGCGGAGCCGCCTGAATGATGCATGGAGAAGGAGAACTCCTATACTCAATGTTTGCAGCAAGGATTTTGTTTTTACCTTCTCTTTTTTTTTCATTTTCATTTTGAGATGTGAAGGAACACTTAGATTTTTTCAGACCTGCGCGGTGAACCCAACACCGAAGCCGAGTAGGATCCGGCCAATGATGAGCATTGCAGTATTGACGGCCCCGGCGTTGACGAGGGAGCTGACAGATACTTAACAGGTTCCACTAGTCATAGATCTAGCATATACACTGACATTTAGGATGAAATAGTAAACCCTAAAACACAGTGACACCGGAAGAGCATTGACCATGAATTCACCTTTTTCATGGATGCCTTTGAGAAAAGATAAGTCAATGCACTTCAAAATTAAACTGGATGCAAATGTTCTAAACCAGAAATCAAAATGGCATGAGCTTGTTTAACGTGTCAAGAATTATAATATTTGTTGACCTTAAACTTTCGTTTTACACCGCTGATGTGTTTATGCTCATTTCATTTTGCAGTCAAATGATTAGTTGATTTCCTTTCAAGGTATTCCTGAACAACTATATTACAGTCATGAAGTCGGTACCCAAGCAAGAGGCGCAACCAAAACCACGGCTCATTGTGCGCCTTGGTGTATTCCTTGCATCTCACCACATTCTCTTCAGGTTCACCATCCTTTCTCCATCTTGTTGCAGTCTAAATCCTTCCTTTCATCCTTTCTCATTCCCCTAACTCACTATTCACCATTTTCCTATCAGTGTTCTATGCTGCTCTGCTGGCATTATCACACTACTACTCCTTCCTTCACTTGCAAAAAACACATACCTCTCGGAGAATGCTCTTATACCTGGTATTTTACCCTCTTCTCTATTTTTGTTTACTGTTACTTTATTGATGCATACATGCTGTTGTTCTTGGAGGGTGTGCCTATCTGGGCCTCTTGGGGCCTTACACCCAGATCTTTAGATAATTAGATTACATACTGTATATATTTTATAATAAAGTGAACTGTAGTGTTCTCAGCATGCTTTTGTTCAATAAGTTGTCTGATGAAGCAACATATCAATATTGCTAAATATCCTGGATCTTTGGGTGTTCAGCGTAACTTTGGGCCTCATTGGATTTATCATGTGCCAAAGAATACCTTCTGAAGTTAAATGGTTGAATATGATATATCATAGTGGGTTTTGATGTTTGGTATCAAATAGTAAAGACAAATTATTCATATCCAATGTGGTTGCAAGAATATGCATTGTATGTAGGCTAGTATAGCAGGCTAGCATGGTGTTGTACAACAACAACATAGCCTTTCAGTCCAAAGCAAGTTGGGGTAGGCTAGAGTTGAAATCCACCGAGAGTCCCAAGTCACGGTTCAGGCACTTCAATAGCTGCTTTCCAAGCACTCCTATTCAAACATAGATCTCTAGGTATATACCAAGCTTTCAAATATTTTTTTATTGCCTCCCCCATGTCAATTTCGGTCTTCCTCTATCTCTTCTCATATTATTAGCTTGGCTTAGGACTCCACAATGCACTAGTGCCTCTGGAGGTCTCCTTTGGACATGGCCAAATCACCTCAACCGATGTTGGACAAGCTTTTCTTCAATTGGTGCTACCTCTAGGCGATCACGTATATCATCGTTCCGAACTCGATTCATTCTTGTGTGACCGCAAATCCATCGCAATATACACATTTCTGCAACACTCAGTTGTTGAACATGTCAAATCTTTGTAGGCCAACATTCTGCTCCATACAACATAGCCGGTCTAATCGTTATTCTATAGAACTTGCCTTTTAGCTTTTGTGGTACTCTCTTGTCACATAAAATGCTAGAAGCTTGTCGCCACTTGATCCACCCTGCTTTGATTCTATGGCTAATGTCCGCATCAATATCTCTATCCCTCTGTAGCATCGATCTCAGATACCAAAAGATACCATTCTTATGCACTATTTAATCTTCCAAACTCACATCTCCCTACTCTTGTACAGCTCCGCCAAAGTCGCATCTCATGTATTCGGTTTTAGTTCTACTCAATCTAAAACCTTTAGACTCAAGGGTCTGCCACCATAACTTTAGTTTCCTATTTACTCCCTCATGACTTTCGTCCACTAACACTACATCAGCAGCGAACAACATACACCAAGGGATATCCCCTTGTATGTTCCTGCCTTCCTGGTAACTTCATCCATTACCAAGGCAAAGAGATACGGGTTTAAGGCTGATCCTTGATGAAGTACAATTTTAATCAGAAAGTAATCTGTGTTACCATCGTTTGTTCGAACACTAGTCACAACATTGTTGTACATGTCCTTGATGAGGGTCACGTACTTTGATGGGACTTTATGTTTGTCCAAAGCACACCACATAACATTTCTTAGTATCTTGTCATAAGCCTTCTCCAAGTCAATGAAAACCAAGTGGAGGTCCTTCTGCTTTCTAAACCGCTTCATAACTTGTCTTATTAAGAAGATTGCTTCTGTGGTTGACCTTCCGGACATGAAACCAAATTGGTTTGTTGATATGTGCGTCGTTCCTCGCAGGCTAGCATGGTGTTGTAATCACACAAAAATAGAATATTTGTTGATAATGACAATGATATTTTTCATTTCTAACTCTCTTTTGCAACTTCTGTACATAACTGATCTTCTCTAAAACTAGAGGCCTTGTATGTAGGCTTTGCCAATCCATTATTTTCTACTGAAGATGCTATTGAAGCAAACAGATTTATGAAAGGAATTGAAGCTGTGGTTGGAGACTCGAGGTGAAATGTATGTTACTTCCTTTGGCCTTTAATATCTGTATGTATTGATCTTTGTGCGTATAAGGTATAAGTCATGTAGTTCAACTGGTCTGTTATGTTCAATATTTTGTGACTGCTGTTGAGAGATTTGCTATGGTAAAGTACATGATTACTATGCACTGTAGTTATACTAGTATAGTAAGCATATATGTCGAATCCATGTAACTCAAAATCGGATTTCAATGTTTTGATAGTAAAGGAAAAAAAATCAGTTTTGCATAAGAAACATGATTATAAACTTTTTGTGTTAAGTTCATTAAGCTGAAGTCACATTTTTAACGACATGTAAATAGGACAATATGCATAGGGAATAACTAGTTTAATCCTAGGATTGCAAAAGGGAAATTTTACCAATTTTCATCTAACTTACATTTCTGTGTGCAATATTACAGTTGGCAAATTTCATAGCACAACAAATAGAAGCTCTAGGTGCAGAAGTGTGTTACCATAAGTTTATCCCTCGTAGCAAGAATTTTCATCCTCTGAAGTTCTTCACCTCCATGACAAATGATATGGCAATTCAACCTAATGGCACCGACACCAATTTTGGGATAAACACTATCGGCATTGTACGAGCTCCTCGGGGCGATGGAAAAGAAACAATAGTGCTGGTTAGTCCTTATAATTCTCAAAGTGTTCAGTCAAATGAATTATTATCGCTGGCTCTTGGTTTCTCTGTCTTCTCCCTCTTAAGTCGAGCTGCATGGTTGTCCAAAGATGTTGTGTGGCTATCTGTAGACTCACAGTTTGGAGAGTATGTTGCAGTCTCTGCATGGTTAAACCTGTATCATAATCTTGTGTTTTTGAGTCAGTCAGTAATATTGCATACCAAGATGTATGGCGCAAACCATATAAATGATGGTAATTCAGAAAAAACAGAAGTCATGGCTTTCAAATGTGCTGGAACAATGGTTGCTGCTCTCATATTTAAAGTTGGGGAAACCAGAAGATATGGTGACAGAGACAGTGTTATGATGTATGCAGAGGCATCTAATGGACAAATGCCAAACTTGGACCTTTTGAATGTGGTGCATTATTTGGCTGTTCATAGACAAGGTTTTCGTGTGAACATAGCTGCATTTAGTTCTTTGTTGAGCTCTGCATGGCTTTGGGTTGGGCGTACCCAGTGCAGAGAGCTCCCGCTCTGTGCGGGGTCTGGGGAAGGGTGTCAGTAGCAAGCCTTACCCTCGCCTGTGCAATGCGAGGAGACCGCGACTCGAACTCAGGACCTTCCGGTCACAGGCGGTAAGACTCTACCGCTTGGCTTAGGGTTATTGCTGAATTTTTACATACTCTTGGGAGTGTATTAAGAAAAATAAATCCTGACTGGAAGCTTGATATTGCAGTCCCTGACTATGTGGAGGGGACTGCAAACCTAGCTAACTCTATATACAGCCAGGTAACTGAAATTAATATTTTTCATTTCACCGTAATGGCACTTTCCTTTATGACTCTACAGTCCCTCTTATTGGGGTTTGTTCGATACAGGCTCTTGGAGTGCCCACAGGATCCCATGGAGCTTTCTGTGATTATCAAGTTGACGTGGTTTCTTTAGAATTTTCACCAACATTTCATGTCAGAAATGACAATGCTAAATCTTTGTTTCGTCTAAGGGGTGGAATGTATGTTTCTTATTGTGTTTCAATTATGCTGTTTAAGGTTGCAGTCTTGTTAGAGCATGGGAGCGCCTTTTGTTTGACTTTTGATTAATAATGGAGTGGAGGACTTTGCTTTTTCATGCATTGAGGCATGGCGCTGTTTGTATCATTAACTTCACAACAATGACAGCATTGGAAGCAATGAAGATTGCAATATATATATATATATAGGGGTGAGGAGATCTCGTGGTTTATAGAATCAGGACCAACCAAGATCACCTCATATCTCTCTAATCAAGTATGGGCCGGCTGGCTATACCAGGCGCGGACTCAAAAGGGGTGGCCGGCTATACCAGGCACAGACCCCTACCATATACACGCATAGCACAAATATACATTCTAACAAACATAACTGGCAAAATTTATTTAACTGTTTTTAATGTACATATAACAATTGCTGAAGTTCTATAATCTCCCAGTAACAAATAGATGATCAGTAATAGTTTTGTATCTGCTGTGACCTTGCAAATTCATGCACAAAATTATTTCATCAGGTATATGATTACATATTAGAACTACCAGTCACAAAAGTTTCCGGTAAGTAGGTACGAGGAATGTGGTAAGTGATACGTAGATTGACAATTTTAAGTTCCCGGTTCGTAAGGGTTATACCTCTTCGGAATGTTTGGTTCGAGGATGGGATCAAGATCCCTAATAATTGGGACGCCGTACCCGGAACGTAGCTACTGAACGAGGATCAATCTTAGTTTTTGTCATTTTTAACTGATTATTTTTTTGCCATTTTCCCCTGTTTTTTAGAACTTTTTAGCTGTCATTATTTCACACTGGGCTGGAGGCCCATTTACGTAAGGTGTGAAGTTGTGCTCGCTTGCTCGCCCCATTAGTCGAAGCGTCGCTCCCAGGTCCCAGCGCCGCCGCTGTTCGATGCTGCGACGCCGCGCCGCTCGACCCTAGCGCCGCCGCCGCTGCTGGTACACGTCCCCTTCTCTTCTTCTCTTGATCCAGTTCATTGTGGTACGCTGTCCCAATTCGCGACCCAGGCACGTTCCTGCGACTGTACCGCGCCGTCCCCGTTCCGCGATCCGGAACGAAAGTTCCGGGAACGGGGAACGCCGCAACGTACCGCATTCCGTGTGACTTTGAGAACTACATAACAGTTAACAGGCAAAAAATTACTTGAGTTGGGTCTTATTTGCACCTCTGACCATTTCATAGCTATGATTTTCTAAGAATTTTAGCATTTGCGGATTTATCAATGGCAGTAAATAGATGTTATGTGTATAAAAAATATTAAATATTACTGGTACGAATGAGATTATTAGCATGAACTGGTAAAACTTAAAAAAAACACCTTAATTAGTTGGGTTTTTTTTTTGGGGGGGGAGGTGGCGGGCATGACTATAACAACCTAGTAGAAAATATGTGCATGGATAGAGGTCACAAGGTGTTTATGCAAATGTTGCACTGAACTAAACACAGGAACAGGATCTCTTATGTTGCCACTGGGTGATAATCTTAGGGTGTTTAACAGCTTTCCTTTCATTTTCCTGTGAAAGATTCCTCAGTAGAATGTGTTTGACATGTTTGGGAATGCTTTTGATTCAGGTTAATCGAAGGAGTGGTGCGTTCTGTGAACAATCTGCTTGAGAAGTTCCATCAGTCCTTTTTCCTGTACTTCCTTACTGCTCCAAGCAAGTTCATTTCAGTTGGCATGTATATGATTCCGTTTGCATTGCTGTTGGCACCTCTCCCAATAGTTGCTGCTGCCTTTGCTGGTGGCAGTAAAAGCATGGAAAAACCAGTAGATAAGTTGATAGAACACAGTAAAGCAGATGACATTGCCGATATCCCGCAAAGCAAGGGTGGATCATGTAAATGGCTTCAAGCTGCAAAAGTATTGCTTGTTATCCAGCTATGGGCAGTACTTGTTTCACTACTTCCATATTACATTACTCAGATACCTGATGCCACACCTATGCAAAGCACACTCATCTGGGTTGTTCTCTCCATTGTCATACTGATCGCCCTATCTGTCTTGTTTGGCTCACCATACTCAGCTGGCGTTGAATGGAAACTTCTGAAAGCTACCTTGATCACTTCCATGTCCATCGGGTTGGGGCTCATGTCAATCATAAATTTTGCCACTGCTCAGCTTGGTGCTCTGATAGTGATCCCAATGTGTTTGTTTTCTCGGCCTCTGAAGGCATCAGGGATGAATTTTCTTCCTCGGTCTGTATTATTGGCTTCAAACATAGTGTTTGCTGTGTTGGGTTTTCCTCCAGCTGCAGTGCTGATTATGAAAGGAATGTCCAAGGGGTCGTGTTCGTGGACAACAGATTTTGGAGATTTCTGGATATGGATGGAGTTCCTGTGGGAATGGAGCAGCGAGACGTATCTGTACCTATATCTTGTCCATCTTCCCTGCTGGCTTTTGTGCATCCTTGTGTTGCTGCACCCATGTCGCCAATTAGAATCTAAGATAAAGGAGGACTGGCTGTTTGGTCTCGGGGGTATTTTCTTTTCGGTTGGTAAATTTTAGTGTAGACTTGTGTAGAAATTTCTCACTTTCACTATTTTTGGCCTGCTGGTCATTTACTTGGCCGTCCATTATTCGGAACTTATTCACCTAGTTGGAGAAGTCTTTTTTTCCTCAAACTACGCAAGAGTGCTGCTCGTCATTTCATTAAGGTAGAAAATAGAGCACACGAGTCCAGAAGGGGCCAGTTGGAGAAGTCTTGTAACATGTAAATAGGATTTGGTGATGGATTGACCTGGCGTGCCCCCGACCGGAGCAACCGTCAGCCGGCCCAGCGCCCCCTTCTGCAGCCCCTCCCCCGGCGCGCCGCGTCCTTCTGCCCTCGGCCAAACAACATAAAACATTTGTAACATAAAAAAAACATGTCGGAATATAGATGAAACACTTGGAATATGCACTTGCAACATGTGTGTCGAACACATGAAACATCCAAAAAATAACACTTGCAACTTGCAACATGAAATCACTTATTGTAACATAAGACTGAAATATTTTGGAACATACTGTTGCAACATATGTGTGAAACATATACAACATCCAGATAAAAACGATTACAACATACGTCTAGAAATAAATGAAACATTTTGAACAAACGCTTGTAACATGCATCTGAAACATGTGCAACATCCCCCGATCTAGTTTTGCAATATCAAAATGGAACAATTGCAACATACATCTAAAATGTCTGAAATAATTGAAAATACATATGCAACATAGGGGAAGAGAAGGCCGAGGCCCGTCGATTCTAGCTGCCAGGGTCGGAGTTGGCAGCAAGTGGCAGCGCGCGAGCACAACCGCCACCAGCAGAGGGCTTGGCTCAGCCGAGTGGGCGCACTAGCACCAGCAACGCGTGTGCACCACCGTCACTAGCATCAGTCTTGGCTCGGCTGGGTGAGCGGCACGCACGACGGGCGGAGCGAGCATCAGCACTCGTGACGGGAGGGGACGAGAAGCGCTCGCGACGAAGGCGAGCAAGCGACGCCGAATGGGGCGCGCGACAGCAGCGAGGCAGAGTGGCATCCACGTTTGGGACGAAACGGACCGAATGGCAACCCAAGGCGATGTGGTGGAAAGGAGGGAGTGAAAGGGAGAAGGTTGTTTTTTCTTTTTCTTTTTTGATCGGTTGGGGGGGCAAGGGCAAGTAGATGAGCAGTACGTCGCGGCCCACCATCGGCACCGTCCGAGCAGACAGGCCCACCATCGGCACCGTCCGAGCAGACAGACGCCCCATACCAGCATAACCTTTATGTTTTGTTGACAGCAACCGAGAAGGATACCAAAGTTGGAGGTAAGGAAAGCTTTAGAAATCATAAATGAAGTGCAAAAGCACTAGGAGGGGTATCTCCTTCAAATATAGGGAAAAGCATGAGCATTGAAAACAAAGGCAGCCGAACATGAGATTTCAGTTGTGCGCATGTCAAAGTGTTCAATGAAAACAAACATGTTTCGATACAAGGGCTAGGCAAACACGGGGGAAGACAAAGACTACCATGACAACCAGGAAAAGCACATAATCTCCAGAGTATATCCTATCATCTTACTACACAAAGTATGCCAAATGGGCCAATATATCAGAGTTACAACAAATATCGAAATAGAGTTCTGAACGAATCCTGAAAATTTAACCAGCAGGAGACCCTAGAGCTAGAATTTTAGATCAGGCCTTGACGCTGCAGGTCAGTGTAGGTCTTCTTGTTGTAGATGTTGCCCTCCTGATCTTCGTACTCTTCTTCTAGGTCTGGCCGCCACTTGTTCACTCCTTGTCGTGCTTGAATTTTCTCCCAGAGAGCTTTCGCCTCCTGACAGCAGAAATAAAAAAAAATGTTAAAACGCATACAATAAAACAGCCAATGTACAACATTTTCAGTTAAATAATACATAGAGGGCATGCATTCATTTGTATTATGTTTCATAGCAAACAGAATAATATAGGACAAGGAAAACCAATATGATATGGGCAAGTAATAAAAAACAAAAGACCAACTATTCACTACTTGGAGAATAAACAATGTAGTAAGCTATATATCAATAAGTATCCCAAGTAAAGAAAATAGTATCAACACGACAAGAGATGACATACATCAATGGATGTGATTTCATTGAAATTCTTAGTATTAGGAATGCCAAGGCATCGCATCCCATGTTGATGACGCCATTCCTTGAAATGACGCTCATAAGCCCTTCGCCCCCAATAGCTATGGTTTCCACATATCTCACACTTGAATTCCTGTACAAACCGTAACAGTTAAAAACATGTTAATGATACGGTACCAAATTTAATGGAAATTACTCAGTTGATGGTTCAAAGCACTTTCGAAAAGAGGAGAAATGCACTAACTGAACATGTGATCACATAAATACATTAGTAAGATGGATCACATTAAATTAGCATACAGTTTAGGCAGAAATAGAATATTTTAAAGCTCTAGACTGGGTAAGGAGAAAAAGAGAACCTGATTAGGTGGAAAGTACTTAGAAATTAAAGCCAAAGGTTACTGTCAAATTTTAACACTGCAGAAAACATAATAGAAGACTTCATATTCATCCTATACTACATCATTGTTCACTGCCACCTCGCACAAGTGTTAGTCATCGAACAGAATGGCTACCAAATTTATATATCAACACATAATTTAATTTTTGGCATCATAAATGTTGAGTGGTGACTGATCAGTTCACAAAGGACAGACATCTTAATTAAATGAGTGTCAAATAGTCAATCTGTGCCATGAATGAAAGCATGGGTGGTGCGCACCATCTCACCGACTACGACTAGACGGAATAAGCTACTAGGAAACATACTCCCAACTCACAAATATGACAAAACTTGTTACCTGTCCAAGGCCATGTAGCTTGTACAGCCAATAGGGGATAGGCTTGCCATCCCAACCCATTGGCAACTTGAGAGGATTGTAGATTTGTTGTTCTTCATCATCACTCTCGGTGTCAGCTTGTACCTCCTCCTATAGAAAAATACATATACATATATATAAACCAGTAGTGCAAAAACTTGGTACTTTTACTTCCATGAAAGAAAAGGAAAGGAAATAATATGTTCAGCCAAGTCATAAGATCATACAGAAATTTGAAGCGAACAAGCCAAGAACTGCATTCTAAGTTTCTAAATGAAAAGATTCGCTCACTTTACAACAAGTTACAACCAGTACCCACTTAGATTTCACACTGATGGACTCATCGTGAATCATGATATGTGGATTAATCAGTAATTAGAGCTAAATGTGGTAAACACTAATCAGCAAATCTCTATGGAATACACATAGTAAATGACTTGAAAACTTAGGGCACGTTTGGTTCTTGTCCCATAAAAGCCATGCCAAAATTTGGCATGCCCTAAAGTTTTGTCAGGCATATGGTAGGGGCCAAAATTTGGTAGGCCAAAGTGATTTTGACATTAGCCAGCTAAAGTACACGTGGCAGCTGCGGCACCAGACGGGCAGCTGATTCACTCGCCGCAATTTCCTTTGGCCAGCCAGAAAAAGAATATGGGTGAGGTGGCAACAATGTGTTGGTTGCATGCACTTCAATAGCTTTGTGTTAAAAAGCTTTATTTAAATGAGATTATTTCTTAAACAATATAATTAGTGACATTTGGCTCCCCCATGTCATACTCACAGCTGTAAGAGACTTTGGCATGCTATAGAATTTTGGCTTGGCCACCATCCAAACATATCTAATACTCCCTCTGTTCCAAATTATAAGACATTTTAGCTTTTCTAGATACATTACTTTTATTATGTATCTACACGTAGTGCATATCTAAGTGCATAGCAAAAGCTATGTATCTAGAAAAGCCAAAACGTCTTATAATTTGGAATGGAGTATAAGCCAATTTTGGTCATGCCATGTTGTCTATGGCCTGTATCCAAACATTCCCTTGTTCGCTATGCACTATACGTCTGTACCAATTTTTCAAAGCAAAAGGTCATAACATGACCCAGAGAATGGATTTCAGAATACAAAAACGAGGGGGGTTACAACCAAGACACTTGTAGAACTGTTTTAGGGGAAAGGAAAATGGTACTCCATGAATATGATTTTGGTATATCTCAGTAGGCAACAATACTGACAAAAAAAGCAGCCAAAAGCATGTTAGCTGAGTAGTTTACTTTCTAAAGCATATTGCACATGCACATGTCAAAGTTTATGTTTTAAACTTCTCCCATTGGTGTTTTCAAGACGATAGCACAACCAATAGCAGCAGCACGTTAAAAATAGAGAACAACATGTTGGAATAGTGCAAGACACAGAGAGAAGTTTTTTTTTTTAATCAGAGCAGGGTGAGTAACTAAGTACCTCCTCCCGTTCTGCTTCCATCTCTTCATACGTCAGTGTAAGCTTCTTCTCCGCATTTTCCTTTGTCCTTACAAAGGCCTACACAAGCAACATGAAGTGTCAAAAATATGTCAGGTTAACTTCAGCATATAGACAAATAAATTTAGCAAATGGTAGTGCCCTTTCAAAAAAAAAAATAGTAGTACAAGTGAATCATTCTGGAATCGAATTGTAACGAAGTCCTTGTAGCTTGTACAGTTTGTGCTTGGGTTTGCAAACAAAAATATCCATATCTACCATATTAAAACTGGCATGTGATTATATTGGTGAACAGTACATATACTGTATTAACTTGTTAGGAAAAAGACAAGAGGTGATGCACTAATCAGCTGTTAAATTTTTATAAAGCCTTCTGAAGCATGTTTTTAAGTTGTGGTAATACAAATGGAGCTTTTCAACACAAGTACAAGGTGAATTCACACATACAAGATCATAATTCATAACACAAACGAAGAAGGCACCCACATATCACATTCACATGAATAGACATTGAACTATTCCAGGACGAGTCTACAATCATACATTTGTACTACTCTAGTACTCTGCATGCCTAAAGTTGCAATTTGAGGAATAGTGTAATGCCAGCATGCTGCACACCCAAAATGAAAAATGACCCCAGAATTCTAGAGAAGACCAACTCATTCTAGACAAACAAGATGGTCTAGCCAAAGAAATCCATATTCCATTTTAATAGACTAGCCTAAGATGGAAATAAAGTACATTCCTCAAACTAAACAGGTTTTATCTTCATAGGATTATAGCTTATATAAGGACATAAGTGGTCACAAAAGGATTGACTGCACATGCTAGTGCATTTGCATGAGTGTACCATGCATCCAAAATTACACGCATAAACACAGGGAGCAACGAAGAGCTGACCTCATCTAGCAGCTCACAAAGGCGCCTCATCTTTACTTCCATCAATGCGATTTCCTTCTTCATATCATCCTTAACATTGTTGCCATTAGAAGTTGTGTCTGAGCCATCTTTAGTACGTAGAATTTTGGCAAAATGCTTCCTATCCAGTTGTTCCAACGGTGTATGCTGCAAAATATAATTAACAGTAAGTTCAAAGAAATGGTAAAAAGGTAACAAAAACAGATGAATCTACATAGCACTAGTGTCTTTAAAATCACCTTCAGCAAGAAAAGCCGCTCCGCACGCTGTTGAACAGTGCCACCACTCTTCAAACCACGAGCAGCTAAAGCCTATAAAGATGTAAATGAATCAACAGAACTCATCAGACAAAGGGACCAATGAATAGTCAACAATAACAGACAAGAAAATAATGCTTGGTAATACCAGCATAATGTTTTAAGATCAAACCTGTTTTAACTTTTCTGGGCCAAGCTCAACAAGTTCTTCAACTGTGCTGTAGTAATCAAGATCTATTTCAGATTCTTTTTCTGTGCCTTTATTTCCCCATCCAGGTATTTCTCCATTAGCCCATCGTTCCTCAAATTCACTCTCCAGCTGTACAAATGTATGCCAATAGAATGTTAGTTATTAGTACTTAATCATACTCAACGTTATTGAACAAAATATTGCCAAACCCACAATTAGCAGCTCCTAAATGAATATAAAGGAGTGACATCATAGTTAAAAACGCTATGAAAGTAGAGGATAATCCGAAGTGAAACACTACATAATCACATAAGCCTGTGGAACACAAAGGGGCATTAATACAGAAAAAAGGTAAAATAAGACTGACCTTTAGAAAAATCTTCTCAATGTCTTGCAATGGCTCTGTGCGGTACAGAAATGATGTCAAATATTCCAAAATGTGTTCCAAGTATTCTCTGTATTGTCTGTCAATTAAAGAAATTGAAAAATATAAACAATATAACAATAGACATATAAGGGCACCACCATATGAAATGAATGCTAGACAGATGAAACAGCTACGCAACTATCATACACATGTACTTGGATATGCATTTGCCCTATATCACGACTTAGGGTTCTTTCCCCCTATGAACCATGTGAAATGAATGCTAGAAAGGTTAAACAAAAAACATCTGAGTAATTACCCTGCATATAGACTTGAACATGTTGAACCCTACTAACCTACAGTTTTAGGCAATTTCCCTGCAGTGTCCCTCACCACATATTACCACTATCAGAAAAAAAAAAGGAATTCAACCAGAGGTGCATATGGGCTATGGCATAGCCATACTAGTCAAGCCCATGCCAGGGTCGGGCCTGTTCGCTTCTACTTTTTGGGACTGCAGCAACAACTGAATAGCACTGTTGCTATTACTGGGCAGCAGCAGATCCTGTTGTCTAATATGTTTCAGGCCTTAGTGAAAATGCATAACATACCTGGTAGCCTTATGACTATGTGAGATGTTGTCCGTCTGGGAGAAACAGCCAACATAAGCCGAGTATTCCATAGGCTTTCCAAACTTGGAATTTATGAACTCATTATAAAGCTCATGCAAATCTAGGTAACGGCCAAAAGTTTCCTATCAAAATGCAGAACCAGGTCATTAGCAAACCTAATTAAAACTATTGTAAGAATAGTAGAATATTAACAGCAAAAATGTTGTGAATATGCAACATGATCTAGCAGGAAAAGAACCACACAGCGGTGCAAATCAAAAAAGGAATAGATCATTGAATGATTGTCAAGTTATTGATCATTCTCCATCACAGTTTCAATCATTGCCTAAATCTAAATCTTACCAACGACACCACCAAGATCCCACAAGAGGAATCAAACAATCCTGCAGAAATTAAAGTACACATATCACAACGGAGATACCCTAAGCCTCAAGACTACTGTAGTGAAAGGAAAAGGAAGGGCACTGCTTAGGCTAAAACAAAGACTAGAACATAGCACAAACAAATTTCTACTTGTTTCAAACAATTATAAAAAAGATGTATTCAGGTAAACTGCAATAATTTGAGAATAGCAGAGGATAGCAACACAGGCATATAAAGTATAAATCATCAGGGGGGAAAATGATGCAAGTAACAAATTACTAAGATTAAACGTCATATGGCTCATAATTAAAAGGCACACAAATTATAAAGCAGAGTTACAAGCAACAAAAAGGTGACAATACCTCGCCAGTGAATTCAATAACTGGTTCCTCCTTTAAAAGCTCTTCATAGTCATCAGTTGTACTGACAAAACGGGCAGATAGGTTCCGCCGATGATATTCACGGATCTTTAAGCAAGCAACAAAACATACTTAAGTCAGAATTCACAAAAAAGGAATAAACTAAGAAAGACTAGAAATTTGCTGATAACGAATATATGCTTGCTAGCACAGCATCTTTAAGGACAAATTAGGTTTGGACAACTGAGGGGCAATTGGAATAAAAAAAAAAAGATGCATGTACAGTACCAACATGGTGCAAATCTAGCAATAATAGGGAAACCGACCAATGTCTGATCCTCCTATTCAATTTCCAAGGCATACTTTGGAACAGCAAAAAAACTACTACCCCACACACACACACACACTCTGGAAAAAGAGTCGTTTGTAAATTACAAATTACATGCATGAAATCTTGGTTGTTGTCAATTCAGTTTGTTCTCAAATTGTCGACTTTTTGGATATTCACATGAATTATTTCGTTAAAAAAACATCACCATTGAAAAATAATAGCATGTCTATCTATTGATACATAATATGCACCAACCTGTGTCTGATTGTCATATGGTGGTTGATGCATTTTCAGAGATTCACAATAAGATGCTGAAAAGATTAGACTCATGGAATGGTTAAAAAAAACTTGGGAAGGATATTAACATTGAATAAGACTTGGTTAAGTAGCATGCCTATATATACAATGGGATTTTACTTATTAGCAGGAGTTCATAATAAGATGAAGTGATGAACTCTATCAGGTAAAAATTCTTCTGGCAAGGTGCATAAGATAAATTCAACAATATATCATATGGCTAAGTTGGAAATGTTATTATGGTAGTCAGACCCAAGGACCAAAGTGGTCTTGGGATAATTGAGACCAAGATTATGAATGAATATTTGCTTGTAAAATGGATTTGGAAATTTTTGCAAGGCTCAGATGATACTTGGTACAGAGTTCTTCAATCCAGAACAAGCCAGCCAGATGATAACTTTTAATTCCAAACATAAAGGCAATTCTCAGCTATGGCAGTGCCTACATAAGTTCTACGCATTTGTTCAAATGTAGAGCTATTTACAAGGCACACAATGGCAGGAAGAATTTTTTTCCTGGAATGATACATGGATTGGCTCTGTACCTTTAAAAATCAAGTACCCTGGACAACATAAGATATGCGAAGAACCAAATGCTACAGTGGCTGAATATTGGACTGAAGATGATTGGGATGTAAATTTCAGTGGGTCTCTATCCTCATCTGACTACAATTCATGGGTGGATTTCATGGCTGCAGTTCACTACCACATCTCTATACAGACTTTTTAACTGATGATGGAGGGGTCAGTGACAGTATGACAGAAGAACTTTGGAAATGAAAACTGCCCATGAAAATTAGTATCTTTCCTCTGGCAGTTCTTTTATGGTAAATTACAGGCCACAACAGTTTTGAAAAGAAGGGCCCAGAAAGGTCGTGTGCATTGCTCTCTGTGATGAACCTGAGAACATAGACTGTATTTTTCTTTAGATACCCTATTGCTAGATTTGCATGGTGCAGTCTTACAGAGGCTTTCGGTTGGGACTCATCCCATTTCTGGATCTGACTTCATGGGAAGTTATGCTAGAACCTGCATTTACCTCAGCGTCTATACTTTTCTTTTTCTTTGCAGGCTTGGCATGGTCAACTTGGAAAACATGCAATAAAATGACAGTTGAGAGGAAAATTCCTAGCCACCCCTCTGAAGTGCCGTTTTATGCTATATCTTTTCTGCAGATGTGGGTGGAGCTACTCAAGCCAAAGGACCGAATTAGAGTGGAGAAGATCATTTGGAACTGGATGGACAACTTCAGGCCTTCGGCTATAGCCTGGACATTAAGGAGCTTTAGTTGCGTTGTAATAGGATAGTTGTTATGGCAAGTAGAGCCGGCCCAGGGCCCATGCGGTACTGTAGCAACGCGGTACTGTAGCACGTGATTAGATTAGATTGGATTGTTTGGTTTGTTAGGAAAGAGATATGTGGTTTGGTTTGTTAGGAAAGATATATGTTAGATTGATTCGGTTAGAATATTTAAGGTCAAATCAGTCATCTCTATAAAAGAGGACCCTATATCAGTTATAGTCAAACAAGAAGCAACAATTAAGTTGTTGGCTTCCCCTAGGAGACGGCCGTTACTGCCCTCTCTCCCTCGCGTGAACAGTACCCGCGGGTACTGTAGCTCCGTCGCCGCCTTTTCCTCTCAATCCTAGCAGCCACGTAATAATCTGGTATCAGAGATCTCTGGTTCGATCATGTGGTTCGATCGTGTCCACCCGCTGCCACCAGCGTCTTCGTCGGCGCTTGCTGCCACATATCAGCGCGCTGGCATTAGGCGCGCTGGCGTCCTCCATCTTTCCCGTTTGTTTTTGTTTGTGTTTGCAAGCGCCGAATGCCGCGCTAGCGCCACCCATCTTTCCCGTTTGTTTTTGTTTGTGTTTGCAAGCTGGTATCTCTAGCTGGAGCATTTGTACCGTGCGTTATTGCTATCTTCAAAGCAGAGGAGACTCCTTTCAAAAGAAATACATAATATGCAGCACCAATGCATCATGTGCTTTGGTGCCTGAGTAGTGAGTACTGGAATCAACTTTTTGTCACAATCAGGCAAGCAGCTAGGCTATATACCTCTTTGAGCCTTTCATAGTACTTGCTAAACAGTCCACTTTGCGTGGGCGCAGTAAGATGGGTGTTGATCTCATCCTTCCTAGCATTGTCCTTGTCTTCATAGATCTCCACCTAAAAAAGTCATAAGCAACATTAGTAAAGTGAGATCATCACTGGAAAGCAAAATCTCAATTTCTCAAGGGCAGTTCCTCAAACCAAAAGAGAAAAGAGGGAGGGGGCAGAACGGTACAGAAATAACCCTCGCCCAAACCTCAAGTGAAACAGCACCAGTCAGCTTGTGCCAACTAAATAAGAAGAATAATTCGCTAGAAAGCCGGATATCTAATTCCTCATACGCTCAGAAGCCAACCTTAAGATTCGACAGAAACGGTAAATATCGATCGTATCCAAATCTAGCCTAGCTAACCGCGAATCACTGACGTAGATGGACTTGTAATAAACCCTCTCAGAGAGAGAAGGGGGACGTACGAGCTTGTCGGAGGTGGAGACGACGAGGTCGAGCATGTGGCGGACGCGGTGGGACTGAAAGAGGCGGTCGCGCGGGTTGGCGGGCTCCCGCTGCAGTTCGCGCACCGCGAGCCGCTCCAGCCTCTCCAGGTCCTCATGCGCCGCCCGCGTCGCCTCCAGCACCGTCGACGCCATGGCCCACCTGCTAGGCTACACCCGCCTCCGGTGCTTTGTACAAGAGGCCGGGTGTCGCGCAGCGCCGCGGAGAGGTGGGAGGGGCAAGTTGCGCCGGGTAGCTAGGGTTTTGGGAATTTCGATTTCGCGGTTCGAGGAGGACGAGACGACGCGGCGCGGCGCCGGGGGAGGCGCGTGTGCTCTGGCCTGACTGTGGGGCGGCGCACGGCGGTGACTGAGGGACAAGCCTGCATTCACATTTTTTTAAATTTTTTTCCTCCCCTAAATAAACCGGTTGATTCCAGGTGGTGGAGCAGGGTCCACGTCACCTGAATTGTTTCCAGCCGTCGGATCTTTGATCGTGTGGTCACCGTTGCTTGTATCCGCTTTGATTAGAATATGCTTCTTGCAGCTCCTCATCACTTTCGGTGGATTTTTCCAGCTTCCGTTGATTCTCATCTGAATCCAATCGACCAAATATATACGCTAGCTTCTGCTTCTCCTTCAGGAAAATTCTCTCCCCCTCCTCTCTCAGTCTCTCTCCTCTTCGCTCCCTCTCTCCCTCGACGCGGACAGGGCGGCGACGACGCCTGGAGCGAGGGGGCACGACGGATGCGGCCGCCTTTCTCCACCTCCTCCTCCCCCCATCGCGTCATTCTGTGTCAACCGGTCTCTCGCCACTGGCTCACGCCGCGAGGCACTGGCGGCGACCGACGGCGCCCCCGGGCTGCGGTGCGGCGTCGGCCATGGGACCTGGCGGTACCCGTCTCCGGCCATGGCACCGCGCGAGCGGGCCTCGCCGGTGGGCGCCGGTGTGCCTCCCACCCCTTGCTGCCTCCTCGCGCCGGTCAACGTCTGCTTCTGTGCTCCACGAAACCCTAGCCTCTCTCTCCCCCTCCCTCCCTCTCTCCATAGCACCACACCCTGGGCGTGCGGCGCTGTGACTGAGAGCTGTAGGTGTGCTTTGTTCCGTTGTTTGCTTCTTTTGGACTAGGTCGGTGGATTGGATTCTGGATTCGGCTGTTGGTGCTCACTTATTTTGAGTATTAGGTTTCCTTGAAGTACCTATGAATTTGAAGGTGACAGTTGGATCAGAGTGTGTGCTACTGAAATGCCTTTTCTTCTGGTTGGGTTTACGCTATAAAAGATCCTGCCTACTTCTTGCTCAGTTGCTTAATTTACACATTACCTAAAATTAATTATATATTGGCCACTCCAAATTCTAGAAACTATCAGGAGTACATGGGTTAATTTTTATGATCATATCACTTGGTACGTGCTATCAAGTTTATGCAACCTGACAGCTTCTAATTTTTCACTGACCTTGATCTCAGAGGAAAAAATAATTGTTCAGTCTTCTTCCGGTCACATCTCGTGGTGGTTCAACCATGTTGTCGCCTATCAGTGACTGTCTTCAACATTGATTGGCGAATTACAAATGATGATCAAGGGGCATCAGTGCATCACACTACTGAAGAGAGGTACATATATTATTTGTTTTGGCATTACAGAAGGTGCATAATTAACAATTGCAACTATAAGTTCCTCAGTTGTTTATTTGTTGATTATGATTTTACCATGCGCGTTGTCCTATATATGAACTTTTATTTAACCTTGGTGACTCACATATGTTCTTGCTAAAGCATATGTTTTTGCCATGTGTACATGTAACAATGAGGTGTCCCCGTAACATATTATGTCCATGTTACATTATTATATTACCTGTTTCAAGCGGTATGAGTTAGCAGTTGTTTCAATGCAGGATGTTATCTATAAGATTTCTCTCATTTTCTTATGTTCATTCTTTTCCTTTAAATATTTGATTGATTGCAGGATATTTCAAAAGGAGCTACAGATGCAGAACCCAGGTGTCAACATCATCTGTATTCAGGTGATATACCATTCAAAAAACATGGCTTAGGTCAATATGATCTTTCAAGCTTATAATATATTTTATATTGGAATTTATAGCCGGAAAACAATGTTTTCTTGCGGAGTTTATCTATGGTTCCAGGAAAAGTAGTCAATGCCTGTCTACAAATACTTCATTGTCCATTATAGTTCTCCAGTATCAATGAATGGTACATCAACTTCCAATGTCATGTCAATTGTTAAGCATAAAGGAATTCCATAGTTACATAGAAACATAGTATGATGCATACACTCCAAATGATAATGTCGTGGTGTTGGTTTGAATTATGAACCTCTATATCTAGAGACTATTTTCCCTAAATGAACATTGGGTATGTGCTCATAATCTCATGTGTGTTCATGTGTTTATTGGTATCTTTACCTCTGGCCGTTGCAACAAGTAATTACAGATGCATAAACTATTTCCCTTATTTTTATTTAGACACCTCCACCTCAAATCGACGTTGAGCAAACCCTGAAAAAGCATTTTTGCTCTGAGTAAGTTACTTTTGCAGATAATACCGAGACAACGCATTATTATTTAAACTGAAACACACTCAGTTTTTTCCCCTTCTTCGTTTTGCACTTAGATTCAGATCGTGTAGCTAGGCCACCAATAGACACAAGAGCTACTTGCAGGAAGCTATTCCACGAAAAAAAAGGACGCTAGCCTGGCACACTGTCGCTCCATACTTGGTCAATTCAAAGGGTGTTTTAGTGCTACCTTTTGTGAGGTTTCAATGGTTCATGAGGGTTCATTATTGTCATCCATTTTAGAGCGCCTCTTCGAACAACAGACATTTCCTCGACCGAACGTTGTTTGGGTAAGGCCATTATTCGTAAGCTATGTTTGTGTTCCTAACATTAGGTCTGCGACTTACACACATTTTTTATTTAGATACCTCCTTATATGTCTGCTCTATAGTTTTATAGCACATTTGTTTAGAAAGACGCTCCCTATTTTTCTCCGCCCTATACCTACAGAGATCAGGCAATTTCATATTGCCTGCTGTTGTGCTGCACATGCCGAATCAAAGGGAACAATGAACTCTACCGTCTCAAATAAATTTCATATTCTTCGTTGTACTATAGTCATCCTACCTTACATTGTCTACCTGTTTTCATGGTTACACATGTTGTTTCAAATTGATTTGCAACAGCCATATTATAGACATGTTTAAAAGTATTAATTATCCACATGGTCTGCAAGTATTCTCTTAATTGGATAGATAAATCCTTCCTCAACTAAATTGATGCTGAATTTACATGAACTGCTCTCCAAAGTTGCAGCTGAATTTATTTAGTTCATCCTCAGAATTTCCAAAGGAAACAGATTAATGTGTTCCAAAGTCTACTGTTGCCACCCTCTCTCTCCGCTTGCATTCTCAGCGTTTCACGGTACATGGTAAGAGTCAAACAGATTGGAAATTTTATCCTATGTAAACTATCTGATTACCTGCTTTTTCTTGACACAAATAACTAGATCCAGACCCTTGTGTGCTCAAACTATACATGCTACATGTTCTTTTTTTTGTGACTGTGATACATGCTAAGCATACTTCAATACTATACATGCTAAGTATTGAAGTATAAAAAAATTAGGTGACCAATTTGGAGATCTTGTTATGATTTAGATATGATATTCTGTTCTATTCTACCATGAATTAGGTGTGGTTCTAATTTGGGTGCATACAAATGTGTCCTATTTTCACTGAGCTCTGGGCTGGGTATAGGGATTCTAAATTTTTCTGGATCTTTTCTGAATATTTTCCTGTTTTGCATCTCATCAAATGACTACAATGAGTCGACTGCGACTACAGAGATGGCTTGCCATGGCCCATCGCTTGTCACTACCGTCTCCACCAGCATGGTGTGGCAGAACCACCCGAAATAGCATATTTACGGAGGCACTCGTCTTCCACCAGATACTAAGCACCTCGAAAGCAAGCTACATCGGCGGTATCCGTCGGGCACACCCCAAGGGAGAACCCAAAAGATCCACATTTTTTCAAGGATCCAATAATGAGAATGAGTTACAATATTTGTCCATTTCATACATCAGAAGTTCTTAAAAGTTACATTATTACATTACCAAATGTCAGAGTTAGGAATAATAAACAGCGGAATTTAGAAATAAACATCTATCGATAAGAAACGAGGATCCGTTTGAGCCCACCAGAAGAATCCTCCACACAAGGGTACTTCTCATGCATTACCTGCAACAGGGGTAAATAAACCCTGAGTACGTAATGTACTCACAAGACTTATCCAACTAGTGGGAATAATTTTCTGACTCCAAGGAATATGATAAGCTTTATGTTTTGCTGGTTTCTTTTGGTAGAAAGCAATACTATAGTGGGCCCTTATTTGTGTATTATTATCAGCCATATTAAGTTATCATCTAGCCAGTCTATATAAGCATATGTTCTACTTTGAAGCAAGAGTTGAGCAATCAGTTCTATTTCTTCTCCTTTCAACTTCTAGTTCTTACTACGGTGCTAAACCGCAGACAAGCCATACCGGAACGCCGGCGATTCATGAATCAATGCCCCCAGCTGGGTGCCCCAAAGACACACGTCCCGCTTGTACCCCAGGCACAAGTAGGACCAACCCATCACTCTCCTGTCCTGGGTGTCCAGGTCCCCATCCAAACTTAGACTCTAAGCCCCCACTCCTGAGTCCCGGACTCAGTGCGGTGCAAGGACCTCCACCATCTCCGTCTCCAATCAGTTAGTCCGAAAAGTGTAACCGAGCTATGCCCTATTGGCCACAGGACACAACCCCTTACACCCACCAATATCCAAACCATATCCCTACCCGGTCACCATTTACATTTACAACATTTTATCATGAATGATCATATTTATCACCTACTTGTGAGTAACGGTAGGTTACCCACGCTACCGATATCCTGAGCATAGCAGCTACTCGACATGTACTAGTAGGACTCATAGGTAGATATATTTATGCATGTAGTTTCCATAAAATGCCTGTAACTTAAATGCACATCATATATATTCAGTGATCATAAAATATGGGTTATGCACCGGGGCTTGCCTTGGACAGGCGACGGGTCAGTAAGGTCAGCACCAAAAGGCTCTGGGGCTCCC